AGAAAGAGATGGAGGAACCATATCGCGAAGTTCGGAATCACTTAACTTCAAATCTGTCAAGTGAGGAAGGTTGTTAACTACATGCACCCAGTCATGAGCGATGCTCATATTTGTGGAACTAAGATCAAGCACTCGTAAAGATGAAAGACGCGAAATCGACTGTAGGCCTTTTATCTTTAGTTGCTTATTATAGCTAAGATCAAGATATTGCAAGTTGGACAAATTTCCAAGCTGAGGAGGAATTTCTCCCTCTAGCCAAGTATAAGAGAGATTGAGGTACCTTAATCTGGTGAGCCCACCGATGAATCTCGGGATGAAGTTTCCATCCACAAAGTTGCAACTTAGGTCCAAATGCTTCAAGTACCGCAAATCAACCAATGAAGAACTCATATTGCCAATGAAAAAATCGGTGTGCTCGTAAGGCATTCTGGCATAAGTTGAAGGAGAAAGATCAAGCTTGACGACATGACCAGATTTGTTGTGGCACCGAATTCCACTCCATTCACAACACTCTCTCTTTTCTTCTTCATTTCCCCAAGATGAAAGGATACCACCCGATCCGTAACTGGAGTTATAAATATCTTCTTTGATCCTCAGGAGTGCTTGCCTCTCAACTTCTTTGCACCTGATTTTTGGCTCTCCAACTCCTAAATTTGATCCCAAGGAACCTGTCGAGTAAATCAAAAGTGCTAAAAACACAAGTGTTTGAGAAGCTGATCTGCTCATTATGACAATGAATATCGATAATCAGATCAATAAAAATGTAGTTTAGGAGTCACTCAATTCCATATGTGTATATATATAGAACTAGTCTATCCAAAACATACAGCTGAGAATACCCCTTCCAATACGTTGGAATACAGGTCTATCTTGTATTAATTATTTGAAGTTTGTTTTCATTTTTCGTTGCGTTCACATGATTTAATGAGAAAGGAGTTTGGTTATTTCTTTGTTAATAAACAGCAGGAATGTAAGGTAGAGCAGGGGTCAACTGCGCGGGTCAAGGAAAAGAAGTTGGCAGTCAATTTTTTCTTTTTTCCTGGAAAGTAGATAGAACTAATAATGTGATCAAGACTTGAAGTCTTCGAAGCAACCACAGTAAATATGCAAGTTGAGTTATATATATATATATATATCCAGCAAACAAGTTGAATAATATATGTGTGTATGACAGGCACGGATCCACCACTCTCTCTCTCTCTTTTTTCATTTTTCATTTTATGTGCATATTGGCCCCTGAAAATGTACACTTGTCTTAATTTGGACCCAAACAGTTAATTTTAGACATCTAGCTACCTTGAGGTTTTTGAAATTTACATCTCTGACTTCTCTGTGTTAAACTCTCTATTTTCTTACATAATGTAGCACATTGATGGTTTTTGGGTTGTAAAAAGGATAAAATGGTTTGTCTCTCTTACAACCCTTACAAGCCATCTTCATGCTATATTTTGTTCGAAAATATACAGTCTACTAATAGAGCGATGAAAACAGTAAATTTTGGAAACCTTAGCTTAGCTAGACGTTTAAAAACTAAATCAGGGCCATAGTGAGATAAGTGCATATTCTTATGAGCCAATAGTGTAATAACCTTTTTATTTATTTTTGGTTTTTTAATATGCCCTCGCTGAATTTTTTAATTCAAATTCGCTGAATTTTTTAATTCAAATGTAAATCTACTTAAACACTTCTTTTAAGGTACCCCACTTGACATTTAAATTTGTCCTTTTCTTAAGATATATGTTGCCATTTGATTATTTTTCTCCCCTCCTCCCCATTTGATTTTTCTACCTTTTCTTATCTAATGTTGTGACAAAGTGAGGAGAACATCCGTTGTTTCAAAATATTAAGTAATATTTGTTGGCCAATAGGAAATACAACTTTATTACTAAGTAATATTATAATTCATATAGGGAAATGACCTTTTTTATTATTTTTTGTATATCACTGATTAAGTTAGTAATTATCACTGATTATCTTTATGATTCATCACTAATTAATCAATATTAGTATGTGATTAACTAATTAGTTAGTAATTAATCAACTTTAATAAAAATTACCGCAGTTATCAATGATAAACCATTAGTAAATTGATGATAAACTGGTTTATCACTATTGATTATGGTTTATCACTTATTAAGAACTGCAGAAAAACAGCCACTTCTCAAAAAAAAAAAAAAAATTGGGTCATTTGTCTAGTAAAATAAAAAGAACGGTCATTTATAAAAAATGATGGCCAAAAAAGGTCATTCGTCTAATTTTCCCCTTTTTGTTTTCATATACCCATTTCTTACTTTTCAGTACTACGGATATAGAATAAAGATTATTCACATATTTGAATAGTTCAATAAGCATCTCAAGATACTGATTTCCAACATTGGAATAACTTTCCTCCACAATAGCAGATCATAATAAAATTTTTCTTCAGTCTATATTGAGAACCAGTTTTGGAAGAGAGTTTATTCTTGTAGCAATCAATCAAAAAGAGAAACTAGGAAAGCATAAAAATAAAAATAAAAAAGAAAGTAACAAAAAGTTAGGCACAACTTCTCTAGCCACGACCAACATGAAGTTTTCACCCTAGTCAAATATTGATTTAGAAGCATGAAACTAAAATAAAGTGAAATAATGCTTACATCTTCTAAGAGTTTTTCAACAACAGGCAAAGCTAGGGACTCTATGAAGTCGATTTTGTGTTCGACTCCGGCCTTGTTGATGATTGGCAAGCCTATCTCTTTATATGTTTCCCTGAAGATATCTATCTCTGGCAAAATTAACTGCCCCTAATTCAAGAGAACCACAGATTACACATGCTACATTGTACAATATCGCAAGTTGTATTCATAGTAAGGTTCAATACAATCCAACAAAACACATATAATGCGGTGAAATATGTTGTGTAAAACAACCACAAAAAGGTAACACAGATTGAAACATAGACAGCAAAAACAGAGAACATAATTAACACCAAAGCGGGGCAGCATACATAATGGCTAACGCCAAGCAACTGACTCTCTAGATGAAAAGGTGGAAGCAACTAATCAAGTCCAACTATTTTGTAGACTCCAATAGCATATACGATAAGTTCTATTTTAACATTACAAATCATTTGTTGAAGAAAATCCCCAATGCATCACTGAAATAGAAAGCTCTCAAATCTCCACTGCATAAAACGTTGTCTTCACTTGAAGGGAAGCTATGCTGCTCTATGAGATGCAAAAGCTCCTAACAATGATAGTAATCAGTAATAATCACCAGCAAGGGCAAAAGCACTAAAGTACATAAATAAGTACAACTACAAAAGCTATATAAAAAAACTTTTTTATAAGACTTCTGAGAGAGAGTATTTACCGATTAGCTTTTGATGATCCTCACTAGTTTGGCCTTGTGCACTGCTACAGTTACGTAAAGCCAATCTCCTGCGTTGTTCAACGACTTGAAGTATCCGTATCTCCAGGATTTGTTGAAGATAAATGTCAAACAGACCCCCCAAAATCCAACTATAAATCCAACGGCTGTGCTAATGTAAAATCCTTCTGTTATAAACTCGTCTTTTTCTTCGTAGTTGGCACGATCTTCTGTGGCGCCAGAAATTGCTGGTTCTTCTTCACCTGGACATTTCTTTGAAAGTGGGACTCCACAAAGCTCAGGATTTCCCAAATATGCAGCTGGATCACGTGATTGGAGTTGAGTGCCTGATGGAATTTTTCCTGACACATTGTTGCTCGACAAGTCCAGTGTATTGAGACGGTCTACTTGGGAGAGGCTTGAAGGAATTCTGCCGAAAAGGTGATTCTTTGATAAATCAAGAGCATCTAACGATTTCAATTCGCCGATTTCCTGTGGGATTTGCCCACTTAAATTGTTTCTTGACAAGTTCAAAGAAACCAATCCAATTAGTTCAGTAATTTCTCTTGGAATGTCCCCCGATAAATTGTTGCTTGATAAATTAATGTTCTTTAGAAGTCCCAAATTTTTAAATGCAAGTAGTGCTCCTTTCCATACCAAGCTTAAGTGTTCGTTGTAGAATTCCGGCAGAAGATCAATCCAACCTGGACGATGATATTCTTCATAGGGCCATCTAATCTTTGAATTGGTTCCCCCAATTGCTTTCATTGCTGTAATATTACCAAGACAATACGGAATATTTCTTGAAAGATTGTTTAAAGACAAGTCCAATAGTTGAAGATCTACTAAGTGGCACAGTTCAAGAGGCATACTCTCATTGAAGTTATTTGATCGCAGACTAAGAATAACAAGCTTCGTGTGACTTTTCCCAATCCAAGTTGGTATTGGCCCCAACAATTTATTTCCTCCTACATCGAAAATCACCAAATTCGTGCAATTTTGTAAGGATGGAGGCAATTCTGAAGTCAAATTGTTGTTGCTCAAATGCAATATCCCAATACTTGTTAAGAAGCCAATGGAGGTAGGAATTTTCCCAGATAAATTATTATTTCCCAAAATAAGAACTCGCAGGGCGTTTGCTCGTGACCAACAATCAGGAAGCTCCCCCGACAATTGATTATAAGAAACATCAAGAAGGGTCAACCTCAATCCATATGGTCTATGATCACATAAGGAGTTCATGTCTGAAAATTTGTTGTCGAACAGATTCAATGAATCCACTTGAAATAAGAAAGATGGTATCGGCCCTTCAAAGAGATTTGAACTCAAATCTATGTCACGTATGAATGGAGCAGTGGATCCATGACTAGCTTGAATCGCTCCTCTAATTTTATTATGAGACAGATCCAGAGTTTTTAACACTGAAAGATGATTCCAAAAAGTAACAGGAATAGAATCTGAAATTGCGGAATTGGAGATATTAAGGTCCCGTTCACTTCGCTGATTCGAGTTTAGAATTCGAGTTTTTCTACAGTAAAAAGCTCTCACAAATAATCACATCTAACTTTTTTGCTACAGTAAAAAGCTCTCACATAAAGTCACATCTCAACTCGAATTCTAAATTCGAATCAGCGAAGTGAACGGGGCCTAAGTATAACCAGATTCGAAACCTGTGTTAGGAGCCAATTGGGGAAATATGGACCCAACTTGCATCCTCCAAGTTCTATATACTTCAATTGAAATGGCGGAATCCAATCAGAAGAGATGTCAAAAACGACGTGTGAGTTAGAAGATAAATCCAAATAAGATAGGTTGAAGAGCTTTGAAAAATGAGCTTCAGATATCACATCTGCCATAGTGTTGTCAGAAACATCCAAAAGCATCAGCTTCGACAGTTGACCAAGACTTTTGGAGACATTTCCTTTTAGTTGATTCGAGTTAAGCAAAATGTCTTCCAAAGATGGATACAACGTAAAATTAGGCAATGATCCCACAATTCTATTATTCGCTAAATCCAAAACCTTCAAAGGGAAATGGACACAGCCGTGAGATGTCGATTCAGCAAATTGGAGTTGTCCGCTGAGACTGTTGTTGTATGCATTGAATTCTTGCAGTGCACATATTTTCCAAATGGATTTTGGAATTTCACCAGAAAGCATATTACTGCTGAGATCAAGGTATTGAAGAGAAGTCATATTTCCAAAACCTTCTGGAATGGATCTGTCTAGCTGATTGCTGCTAAGATCAAGGTGTACAAGGGCAGTCATATTCCCAAAAGATTTTGGAATGGGGCCTCCTAATTGACTGCTTCTAAACTCATATCCTAATTGACTGCTTCTAGGATCATATCCTATTTCGCCGCCTCTAAGACTAAGGTATTTAAGGGAGGTCATATTCCCAAAAGAGTTCGGAATAGAACCTTGTAATCCATTGCCAACAAGATTAAGGGATTCAAGAGCAGCCAAATTCCCTAAAGCTTCCGGAATGGAAGCATTCAACATGGAATAAGAGAGGTCAAGATGAACAAGGCTACTATAGTTGCCAACCATTGAAATACCGAAGCAGAGAGTAGGTTTACAGAAAGATCAAGGTCGGTGAGGATCTTTGAAGAATTAACAAAGGAAAGAGATGGAGGAAGTATATCGGGAAGTTCGGAATTACTTAACTTCAAATTTGTCAAGCGGGGAAGGTTGTTGACTACATGCACCCAATCATGAGCCATCCTCATATTTGTGCCAGTAAGGTCAAGCAGCCGCAACGAAGAAAGACGCGAAATCGACTCTAGGCTTTTTATCGTTAGATAAGTGTCGCTAAGATCTAGATATTGCAAATTGGACAAATTTCCAAGCTGAGGAGGAATTTCTCCAAGTAGCAAAGCTTTTGAAAGATTGAGGTACCTTAGCTCGCTTAGCCTACCGATAAAACTTAGGTTGGTCGTGTTTTCAACTATGAGGCGGAAACCACTCAAGTCTAAATACTTCAAGTAGTGCAAGTCAACCAATGAAGGACTGATAATACCTCCGTCAAAATGATCATGAAGTCGTCCGTAAAAGGCTGGAGGAGAAAGATCAAGCTTGATGATATGACCGGATTTGTTGTCGCACGAAATTCCGCTCCATTCACAGCATTCTCTTTGGTCTTCTCCATATCCCCAAGACGGAAGAGTTATGTCCGTGGAGTTCACAAGATCCCTTATAATCCTCAGAAGTGCTTGTCTCTCAAATTGTTTGCACCTTATTTGTGGCTCTCCGACTCCTAAACTTGATCCAAAGGAACCTGTCGAGTAAATCAGAAGCGTTAAAAACACTAATATGTATTTTAGGGGCTGATCATAATGAGTATCGATAATATGATCAACTAAAAGTGTATTATAGCAATCACTCAATTCCACGAATATATAGAAGAAGTTTATCCAAAATATACAGCTCCCCGTTCCGATACATAGATCATAATACAGTTCTATTTCTTATTTATTAGTAGAAGCTTTGTTTTCAATATTGCATTTACAACTTCCAATACAAGGGACAATACAATTTGTTGACTAATACTAAATACTACTTTATTACTTCTCAATTACTCCATATTTCCTTTCAAACCCGTCATTTTATTTTTCCTTAAATTTTTCTTTTGGCGGCGAGGACCAAGTTCTTTAGTTAAATTAGTAAATATTTTTCAAAATCACACATCAAAAGAATGTAAAATTAGAAATTTCTACGTATAAAAAAAGCTTCATACCTAGAGATTCAGCAACAATAAAAAAGAAATAGAGAGGGAAAAATGAAAATATTAAAATAAGAAAAAAAAAAGATGAAATGGTGGTGCAAAAAGAAAAAATGTGTATTTTTGCCTATTTATCGGCGGACGGTTTTCTCTTGTCGGGATTTGCTTTCGGCAGCGGGTAACGTAGTGAGATCCGTGGCCGGATTTGTTCATGATGGCGTGATCTAGTTCGCCATCTATGAGAGAAAGCTTGACATCTTTGCTCGCGATGGCGCGATCTGGTTCGTCGTCTCACCATTTCCGAGAGAGAAGCTCGTCGTCTCCATTGCCAATCCTCACGACAGTTACATAGTCGCCGGTGCCGCAGTGACGGCAGCTCGATTTAGTTCAACGGAGTTCGGCCGGCGCCGGCCATGTGTGAGATAGAGAGTTCAATGGAGAGCGAGAGAGAGTTTCGGGGTGTTATGAAATCAAAATCATGATTTCTGATTTTGAGTTTAAATTATAATTTTAAAATTATAATTCAAAATTAAGAATTTAAATCATTTTAAATTAAGAGATAGATGATTTAAAATTATAAATAATTTTAATTTAAAATATCACATTTAAATTAAATATTAATTCAAAATTATAATTTAAAATTACTGTAAATAAATATTAATTCTAAACTAAAATTATCAAACGCCCGCAGAGTCGTTGCAGACGAGATAAGAGTGAACAGGAGAGAGAGAGGGGTGTGGCGGCTTGTTGTGAGGGAGTGAGAAACAAAAAGGAAAAACCCTAACAGTGTTTGGTTGGAAGATTGAGGGATTCAAATTCTGTGATTAAAATTAAATCAGTATTTAGAAAGACAAAAATGAACAGAAAAAAATGGGATCAAAAAAGTGATTGGGATCATTTTGGGGCCTGATTTTGGAATCAGGCCCCCCTGATTCACCCGTTTGAAACCCCATGAACAGTAAAAAAAGGTGATTTGACATGCGGGTGAGAATTTTTCTCATTGACTTGTTATATAATTGTTCTCGTATTTGATGTGGCGAATTTTTTTCTACTAATTGACTTGTTATAAATTGTTGCTCGTGGGAGACAAGTTATGTTTGGCTTTTATTTTTAATTCACATTTTTTTCATATATTCCTCACTTAGCTTATTATAATTTTGAGTTATAATTATTTGCATAATTTTTTTTTAATACTTTATTTTTTTAATTATACGACGAATTATATATTTTTTTTTAAATTACACGTAACGATTTATATTTATTATATAATTTCTAAATTATATTTATTTTGGTCATGATTCAAATTCAGAAAATAAGACAATTAAACACTGATTTAAATCATATTTCAGGTTAGAATCAGAATCATGCATATACACATCCAAATGAAGGTTCTGATCACTTTGAATCATGATTCAAATCATGAATCATGGATCTGAATCAAATGACTCAAATCACCCTGATTTCAATCCTTATACCAAACGATAAATTTGAAAATGAATAATCTCTTGAGGAATGAATAATAAATATATGCTATAATTTACCAACAAAAAATTAGAATAACCAAAAAATTTGAACGATCTATTACGCCTTGATAATAAGTTAAACTCCATAAAAACAAAGAAAGAAAGAAGAAACAAGCATGGGATATGTGGGAACTTTTCCTTTTAAAAAGTTGTTTTAATAAGGAAGCGTTTGGTAGATGGATCTAGAATCATAATTCTGAATCTTGATTCAGAATCAGTATTTATTTACAATGATTCTGAATCATAATTTTAAATCATGATTCAAAATCAGTGTTTAGTTTGAATGATTCTGAATCATGATTTCAAATGTGATATGATGTTTTAAATCAGAATAACTCATGATTTTAAAACCACCCCTCTTGATTCAAAGTGATTCAAACTCTTAATTCTAAATCATGATTTCATAATCATAATTTGAACCCAAAATCAAGAATCATAGTTCTAATTCTAAAATTATGATTATAATCACTCTAATTTAAATTCTCATACCAAACGAACCCTAAATATTTCAAGTTTTGTTATCTTAGCAAAAATGACTTTTTTTTTCATCAAGTGAATTGACTTGGTAGTCAATTAGTATAATGATTTACCGGCTAATCACTATGGATTTAGTGGTCAATCAATAAATAACCAGCCACAGGTCATTTTGCTTAAAAAAAATAAATAAATAATAATATTTTTTTTTAAAATATATTTTTAAAAAGAGCGGCCAATATTTTTTCAAAAAAATATTTTTAAAAAAAGGTGGCCAAGTCCATTAAAAAAAAAAAGAGGTGCCCAACAACGGCCACCTCACCTAATATCTCAACAAACGTTAACCCCTGTTTTTCCTGCATAATTACCAGAGAGAGTTGTATCCAAAATTGATCTTCCATACAGATGCAATTTTAGAAACTATTAGAATAGCTGATTCCACTACCTTGCTGAATTCCACTATCTCGAGGACGTTTCCCTGATTCCACTACCTCCAGCATGTTCTCCTTGTCATTTTATTATTTTGCTACTCCTTTCTCTCTCCTTTCAGTTATGCCTTAGTGTACGTTGTTATTCTGTTTGTAGGCTATATAATGCCTGGTAGTAATCAATACAAAATCAAGCAGTGTTCATTTTCATTTCATTTCTTAGCTCTCCTGCTTCTTTTCTAATATGGTATCAGAGCACCTTCCTTTCGCTAATTAGAGTTGTTGATCCATGGCGCGTGGCGATGGTCAGCAAAACCAGCAAAACCGTTTCAATCCTTTGTCTTCTTCTCCTCCGGAGGCAGCCTCTGCTTCGAGGTCGGTTAGCACCATGGATGACACAAACAGTCCATTCTTCCTCCATAATGGAGACAATCCTGGGCTGATTCTGGTTTCTCATCCCTTTACCGGATCCAACTACAACACTTGGAGGAGATCAATGCTCATGGCCCTCAACGCCAAGAACAAAGTTGGATTTGTGGACGCTACCTTGCTGAGACCATCTGCGGGTGATTTAACCTTCAATTTTTGGTCCAGATCCAATAGTAGGGTCGCCTCTTGGTTGCTTAACTCAGTTTCAAAGGAAATAGGAGACAGCCTTCTCTACCTTGATAGTGCCAGGGATATATGGATCGATTTGTACGATCGATTCCACCAGAGCAATGCACCGCGGATTTTCCAGATCAAGAAACATTTGCTTGGCATGTCTCAAGGATCCCTTGACGTTAACACTTACTACACGCGCCTCAAGATTCTTTAGGATGAGCTCAAAGATTTTCAGCCCATACCGGTTTGCAGCTGTGGTGGAATGAAGAGTTGGATGGAGTACCAACAACAAGAATACGTTATGCAGTTTTTAATGGGTCTGAATGATTCCTTTGCATCCACACGAGCACAGATCTTATTGCTTGATCCTCTGCCTTCAATCTCTAAAGTATTCTCACTGGTTATTCAAGAAGAACGGTAGCGCACTATTGGGTCAGATACCTCTTCACCGGGTTCCATGGCGCTTCAGACCTCCACTCCTCCTTCTTCGTTTGTTAATGCAGCATCTGTCTCTCAATCAAGACCACGGGCGAACAGGCCCAGCTGCACCCACTGTGGACTCATGGGTCATACTGTGGACAGATGCTACAAATTGCATGGTTTCCCACCTGGATACAAGCCCAAACCTAAGACAGGCCCATTCAGGTCAGGCCCGTTAACCAACCCTCAGAGCTCCACTCAATCCAACTTTTCTCATCAGGTTTCGATGGAGAACAAGTTCTCTGCACAGCTGCCATCCCGATCTCAGAACTCCAATCCGTCGGTGGCATCCTTCACTCCAAATCAGTGCCAGCAGCTTATCGCCCTTTTGAGTTCGCAGCTCCACCTTAGTGCCAGCAACCATTCCGAAGACCCACAGCCATCCGTCTCACACTTCACAGGTACATCCTCTTGTTCATTACATTCCTCCTCTGTTCAACCTTTGACTTCTCAATGGGTGATCGACACAGGTGCTACGCACCATGTCTGTTCCGATTTGTCACTTTTTTCTTCCCTCAAATCATCACCTGGGGGTAAGCTCACCTTGCCCAATGGCCATCAGGTCAATATCACGCACATAGGCTCTGTCACATTACCGAATTAATTAGTATTAACCCATGTGTTTTATGTTCCTTTATTTCGGTTCAATCTCTTGAGTATCACAACACTCACAAAATCTCATAATTGTTCTGTTGTTTTTCTATCCAACTATTGCTCTATCCAGGACCTCACTCAGGGGAAGACGATTGGGACGGGTAAACGAGATGGCAACTTATATTTTTTAGACTTAGGAAATCTGAATTATAATTCAATTTCGTCTTGTAGTTTTGTTGCTTCCAAGATGCCCAAGCCCAATATCTGGCATTTTGGCTTGGACATCCTTCCGCTGTAAAACTGAAATCAATGAATGAAAAGTTACAATCACCTTTGTCTAATTCTCCTGATCATTGTCATTGTTCGATATGTCCTCTCGCAAAACAAAAACGATTACCCTTTCCATCTCACAATCATTTGTCACCTAACCCCTTTAATTTAATTCACATGGACATCTGGGGCCCTTTTCATACCCCAACAACAGAAGGGTATCGTTTTTTTCTCACAATTGTGGATGATTGCACGAGGTGTACTTGGCTTTTTTTGTTACGAGCCAAGTCTGAAGTTAAAACAGTTTTTCCTAAGTTTTTTTAGATGATTTTAACTCAATTTCATGTTGCCATCAAGTCTGCTCGTTCCGACAATGCTCCTGAGTTGGTGTTCACTGATTTCTTTAAGTCCAAAGGCATTGTGCATTATTTTTCTTGCGTTGACACCCCGGAACAAAACTCTGTGGTTGAGCGAAAGCATCAACACATATTAAATGTTGCTCGCGCCTTGTATTTTCAATCTCATGTACCTGTATGTTATTGGGGGGATTGTGTATTGACAGCAATTTACTTGATTAATCGTTTGCCGTCTCCCTTGTTGGACAACAAAACACCTTTTGAGCTCCTGTTTAATAAGTCCCCCTCCTATGGCCATCTTAAAGTCTTTGGATGCCTTTGCTATAGCTCTACCTTAGCACGTCATCGTCCCAAATTTTCTCCTCGTGCTAGACCATGTGTTTTTCTTGGCTATCCATTCGGATATAAAGGGTATAAACTCCTTGACCTTACCACAAACACCATTTTTATTTCTCGTAATGTTGTGTTTCATGAGTCTCTTTTCCCTTTTGCTGTTCCTGGCTCTACACCGAATCTTGATCTTTTTCCTAATCGAGTGCTTCCCCGGTCCATTTTCGATGCTAACCAGTCACATCCCCCAACCATTCCCCTAAGTCCATCTTCTTCCGAGCCCTCATTGGTCAGTTCTTCTCGTCCAAAACGTGCCACCAAACTACCTGTTTACTTAGCCGATTATCATTGCTCCTTGGCAACTCTTTCCAACTTTTCTTCACCCTCACCTTCCCAAACACCTTACCCTATCTCTTCCGTTCTTAGTTACCATCGTCTTTCCGAGCCTCATCGTGCTTTTAGTCTAGCCATTTCTTCCTCATTCGAACTACAATCCTTTTCCCAGGCTAATAACCTTCCAGAATGGCGCGCTGCCATGAAAGAAGAGCTGCAAGCTTTGGAAGAGAATAACACTTGGCATCTTACCTCTCTTCCTCCTGAAGTACCCCGTTGGCTGCAAATGGGTGTACTGTTGGGAATGGTGTCCTAGAAGCATGAGATGTAATAGGATATTTATTATTTATTTAATAAAAGAGTTTATTCATTATTTTATGTGCATATATTTATGAATATTTTATGAATATCAATAAAAATTTCATGATTATTTATGTAACCTTAAACATTGTATATAAGTGTTATGTACGAGAGGATAATGTTTAAGGATAATAATCAAAAAGCAATGTTCATAATGAATTTAATTAAAGTTTGGAATCTTTAATTAAAACATTATTAATACATGTCATTCCCATTTAGAATGGAACGGTGTTATCCGTACTGTTAATATAGTGAGATATTGAATGAGTGTATTTCGCATAATGAGATTATGTGGAACAATGACACAGACACAATATGAATTTCTAATAATTTTCCTTAAGTATAGAAATTCTAATTGAGTCTACCGATGGTCATATATAAAATGATCTTAATCCTGAGTTCTTAACAAACTCCTATTTATGGATTTGTGTCTTTTGATTTACTCGGTACGGATTCTGAGATCCTGAATCCTATTCCTTGTATTTTGGAGACATGATGAAGTAGGTAGCCGGGAATGTTATTACACGAGATGGAATATATTCCTTCTTAACAAAGAAGTAGATAAATAATTCTCTTGAGGGTTGATTCGGTACTTGGACCAGGAGGAGCTCCGATTCATGAATGTGTTTTATGAATCACTGTCCATTAGAGAACCAATGGTACTCAAGGATAAAGAAGTAATTAGAGAGGTTAACGGATTTTACCTAGCTCTAATTATGAATTATTTATGGAGGATTGATCTATATGCAATGACTATATCAAATGGACACTT